ATCCCGATGATCCTGAGCGTGTGGTTCCTCCCCTCCTGGGGCCCATCATGGATACCCTCAGAGGCCTCAGGAAAGCGGGGAGAAACTCAGCTGCCGCCTTTCTGTGTAATGTAGTCGCAGGAGGTCATCCCACTCAGGATGTTTTATTCCAGGACAGGCTAGCCATCACGCCGCTGTGCAGGGTCTGCGGCATGCATAACGGCACGCCTCAGCATCGTTTATTCCAGTGTGACGGTTTCTTTATGTTTAGGCGGGACTTAGACCTGCCGCAGTGCGTGGACAGAGGCTTGCAGCTGGGCGCCTACGATTTCTTGTCGACGAGAGCGCTCTGTGCAGACCCAGGGTACGACTGGCCCAAGGTGTCCACGGCCGAGACCTGGCGGTGGGATAAAGTGCCAGAAGCAGGTTGCCTAGGCAGCAGGATATGCATCGACGGCTCAGGTTTCGACACGACTTCCCTGTATGCAGCGCGTGCAGGCTGGGCAGTGGTAGCCATGGATCAGAGCAGTCGGTGCGAGGGCAGTGCGTTTGGACCCCTTCCTCATCCCGTCCAGGAATCAGGAGCAGGTGAACTGTATGCGTTGCTGATGGCCCTCAAGCTCATTAGGCCCTCGCAGTGCACCCAGATCTACACTGATTGCCAGGCCGTCTTGGACGTGTGGGCCCGCGGGCCCGAGTCGGACATGTCTGAGGTTGCGTTCTCGGAGGTCTGGGAGCTCGTATGGGATCGGGTTCTAGGTATAGGTCTAGGAATGAGCTGCCTGCACAAAATTAAGAGTCACATTTCCTTGAGCAGGTGTCTAGAGACCTCGGAGGCCCCCCACTGGGCCTGGGTCGGCAACGGCATTGCTGACGGCCTTGCTAAGCGCGGAGCCCTGGAGCACCCTTGCAATCCTCGCCTCCGCGCCCTCCAGAGACAGAGAAGTTCTGAGGTAGCAGACTTCAGTAAGTTCATTGCGTGGTTTGGGGAGATGCTCAGCAAGCAGAATTTCCCCGATGTCCAGAAATGTAAGGGCCCCCCCCCCCGCCCCAAGCATGACCCTTTAGTTTTGGTCTGTGATTTCAAGGGGCATGCTGTCCACAGGACGGGCACGAAGGGGAAGGGGGCCTACCGCTGTGTGAACTGTGGAGCCGCGGGGTTTTCAGAGGCGTCAGTGTGCGCACTGCCGTGTTCGGGCCTCCCCAGGCTTGCCAGGCTCGCCCGCTCCAGCCATAAGCTCTGGATTAGCGGCGGGCGTGTTGTTTGGTGTAATTCGTGCGCTGCTTTCGGGTCCGTCAAGCTGTGCCTATTGGGAGGTCCGTGCCCTGGCGCGCCTCCCAACAAGTCAGCGGAGAAGGCCCTGAAGCAGCTGAAGGAGGGGAAGGATCCGTCCACCAAATCCTTCGTGGGTCGGCCTGTACCCCTCCATCGGTCGGGGCCCTAGCGGTGCGGTGCGCGCCTGCTGGCCCTGGCCTCGTTTTCGCGTCGCTCGCCGTCGCCCGCCGCCCAGTTGTCTCGCCTGGAGGAGCTTGGCTGCGCAAGGATCGACAGGATCGACAGGAGGAGGAGGAGGACAACGAGGAGGAGCAGGAGGAGGTCGAGGAGGAGCAGGAGGAGGAGGTGGGAGGAGGTGGGAGGAGGTGGGAGAGAGGAGGAGGAGGAGGAGGAGGAGGAGGAGGAGAGGAGGCGGAGGAGGAGGGAGGAGGGAGGAGGAGGGCGAGGAGGAGGAGGAGGAGGAGGAGGAGGAGAAGTAGGAGGAGGGGAGGAGGAGGAGGAGGAGGAGAGGAGGCAGGAGGAGGAGAGGCGGAGGGGGAGGAGGAGGAGGAGGAGGAGGAGGAGGAGGAGGAGGAGAGGAGGAGGAGGAGGAGGAGGAGGAGGGAGGAGGAGCTGGAGGTGGAGGAGGAGGAGGAGGACGAGGAGGAGGACGAGGAGGAGGAGGAGGAGGAGGAGGAGGAGGAGGAGGAGGAGGAGGAGGAGGAGGAGGAGGAGGAGGAGGAGGCGGAGAGGAGGAGGAGGAGGAGGAGGAGAGGAGGAGGAGAGGAGGGAGGAGGAGGAGGAGGAGGAGGAGAGAGCTGGAGGAGGGGGGAGGAGGAGGAGGAGCTGAGGAGGGGAGGAGGAGAGAGAGGAGGAGAGGAGGAGGAGGAGGAGGAGGAGGAGGAGGAGGAGGGAGGAGGGAGGAGGGAGGAGGAGGAGGAGGGAGGAGGAGCTGGAGGTGGAGGAGGAGGAGGAGGACGAGGAGTGAATGAATGAATGAATAACTCGTGGAGTCCTGTGCCTACCTCTGTCTGACTGCCACAGCTCGCTGAAACAGAATTACAATCCAGAGAGAAGGACTCTGAGTCGGGTTGCTTCTGCACCCCCCAGACATCGTAGCGGATTCAACCAGCGCGCTCCGCTGGAAGCGGCACTGGCCCTACCTGCACCCCTATGGACGGGCACGCAGCCCTAGGGGGCAGGCTCCGAAGGCACGGGGGTCCCGTCCACACCGCCCGCCCTCCCACGCCCAGAGCCCCACCGTTTCCCCTTGCCTTTGGAGCCCGCTTTACCTTTAGCTCTAGGGGCAACATAATTGGGGTCTGGGGCAGCGGGCCTGGGAGAGAGGAGGCAGCGGCATAGGTACAGAGCTGAGAGGGCGTATTAAGCAACTCAGGTGAAATTGATCCTCTAGCAACTAACTCCCGACATCGCTCGCTTCCCGAGAAAGCTTCCTGGGCCCTTGAGGCCCTGGAGGGGTTTAAAAAAAAACGAGTGCACATAGCCCCGACAGGGGGCTGCTGGCTTGGTTGCTGCTGCTGAGTTATGCTGTCACTACCTAGTTTCATCGAATTATCTGCTTCGGGGAGTGGTCCCGAGGGCTGGCTAGCTACTGCTTCTCTGGGGAGGTCTCCTGGGGGCCTGCTGCCTACTCCTTCTTCTCGGATCCGACCATCGTGCCGATTTCGCGCTCCAAGGGGCCCCGCGGGGCCGTTCCCGACAAGAAGATCCCCCCCTCCGACTCCACCAGCGCCTCGAGCAGCAAGGATAGGTCGTGCCCGAGCTTCTGGTCCCTGTGGAAGCACATGCTGATGATCGCCTTGGCCGTCTCGCCGTTCTGAGGCTTGAGAATCTGGCACCTGAAGTACGGGATCGATCTGCCAAGCTTCACTGCCGTCACTCCCGCGGTGAATATCTCCTTCTCGTAGAAGGCCTTCGTGTCGTCCCTGAGTTTGATGTGCTGCGGGTTGCCACCTTCTGCGAACTGTTCGCTGGCGCCGTAGATGATCGCCGCCAAGGAGGACGAGGAGGAGGAGGAGGAGGAGGAAAAGGAGGAGGGAGGAGGAGGAGCTGGAGGATGGGGAGGAGGAGGAGGAGGAGGAGCGAGAGGAGGAGGAGGAGGAGGAGGAGGAGGAGGAGGAGGAGGAGGAGGAGGAGGAGGAGGGGAGGAGGGGGAGGAGGAGGAGGAGGAGGTGGAGGTGGAGGAGGAGGAGGAGGAGGAGGAAGAGGAGGAGGAGGAGGAGGAGGAGAAGGAGGAGGAGGGGGAGGAGAAGGAGGAGGATGATGAGGAGGAGGACGAGCCTGACGACGATGGCTAAGCCAAGTGCGACCGAAGGACGGCCAGGGCACCTTTACGTGGCCCGACGGCCGGGAGTACAACGGGCAGTGGAAGGCCCCGGTTCGGGGGAACCGGGCGGGGCCCCACGCCCTGGTCCTATCTCCCTTGTCCATGCCTCCTCCTTCCAGGGGTCCCAGATATCGGGCGGGCGTCTCGAAACAACTGGAGACGGAGGTTTTTCATCGTTTTTGGCCTCTCGGCGCCCTCGCCAGGCCTCGGGACTGTCAAACGGCGACTCGGGATGAAACACCGGTCCCGGGAAGGTGGTCGGGAGGTCGGGAGCCCGTGTCTCGAAACGATCGAGACGTCGGATGTCTGGGGGTTTTATTGTCATTGTCCATTCCTTCTCCTTCACCCATCATTTCTTTTCTCATCCATGCGCTCGTGGCTCACTCAGGAGGGGAAAACACACACAGACACAATTAATCGTCCACTCCCAGGAAAATATTGGAAAATATGGGAAGCGGGGGGAAGACAAAACCCCAGAAAATATGAGGAAATATGGGGAATCCCGTTATTAATGTGTATTTTGTTGTGTGTCCCAGGGCCCCTTCACTCGCCCTTGCCCCCCTCCTGTGTGCTCTCCCGGTCTCTCCGCCTCGTGCCAGGGTCGGCGGCAGAGCGTCCTCTCGCTCGTGCGTCGAAGCAGGCTCTCCCAAGGAGAGTTGGAATAGGGCCCACAGTTTTCCAGCCTCGAACGTATAAGTATCCTTAAGATTGACACGCCAAAAGGCGATGACAATCTTAGGGGTTCGCCCTCGAAAAACAAGTGGCACGTGTGCCATGGCTCTTGCGCAATAAGGAAGGTGCGCGCTGGCTTGTGGGTGGGTGGATGGGTGGGTGGGTGGGGCGTGATAAAGGGGGTCGCGCTGACTGGTGGGTGGGGGGGGTGCTGAGGGCGCGCTGGGGCGCGCGGGGAGGGAGTGGGGGCCGTGCAGAAATAAAGGTGTCGCGGGGCGGAGGGGGCGCGCTGGCTGGTGGGTGGAAAGGATGCGGATGGGGTGTGCCGTGCCGCAATGAAGGGGTCGGGGCGGAGGGGCGGAGGGGTGTGCCGTGCCGAAATAAAAGGGTTCGTTGCGGAGGGGCGCGATGGCTGGCGGGTGCGGGGGGGATGCGGAGGGGGTGTGCCTTGCCGAAATACAAAAAAAAATCGGGGCAGAGAGGTGTACTGTGCCGAAATAAAGGTGTCGGGGCGGAGGGCGCGCCGGCTGGTGGGTGGGGGGGATGCGGATGGGGTGTGACGTGCCGAAATAAAGGGGTCTGGGCGCAGGGGGTGCGTGCCGAAATGAAAAGGGTTTTTTTGGAGCGGAGGGGTGTGCGTGCCGCCATCCAAAAAGGGGTCGGGCGGAACGAACGCGCGGCTGGTGGGGGGGGGGATGCGGCCCGTGCGAAATAAAGGGGTGGGGCGGAAGCGCGCGCGGGCTGGTG